TTCCTTTAGCATACCTGCTAATAAAGCATCAAATTACAAAATACGTGGCTCTGAAGCACAGCTTCGAAAACATCAAATAATTATTTCCTCTTACCCACCCTCCATTAGAAAAAAACTAGAAGATGTAACAAAGACGTCTTTCCATTCCAAAAAATGTTTTTTTCAACTGTCATTTTCTCTCCAAAAAATTAGAATATCTAAAAATCTGATCTTCCTCAAGTCTGATTCGTGCTTACTTGTCTAACATACCTTCTTCCGCAGTAGTGTCCCACTGATCCTGCATACCTTCTGCTGTAGCCAACTAGATTTAATTACTTCACGTTCGGTACCCATTCAAGTGGAAAAATCATTATATCATCTGTATAATAGGGCAAAAAACCACCTAAATGGCGAAATAAACAATACCTTATTACGCAACCTCACTGTCAAATTATATTTTTCTATGTAGAGAATACTGCTAGACCGAATTCTCTTGCAGTTGGAAAAGTTGGAAAAACAAAAACAAAAATAATACATCAACCCGAGAAATTCCCTATAATTATATATGTCGTAGCAACAACGACCAGGGAATTGATACAGTTGCTTTCAGATTTGAACAGAACCATTTTATACGTGACAGTCAGAAATTACCGTTACGAATAACAATAGAGCAATTAATAATGGAGCAAGAAACTCGATTATGACTCCAATATAAATTCTGTAATCTTAGTTACCTCACTATTAAACTAAGAAAAGATAACAACTAAAAAAAATTGTCCGTCATTCTTCATATTTCACTCTAGCTATTTACCGACAAAAATTAATGATATGTAAATTTTGCGCTCGAACAGTTTGCACTGACAGTTGAGCCAACAATCAAATATAACCGATGACGACAACCCGTAAGTGTTAACTTATAAAATTACCCTTACGCCAAGCACAATGTTAACTACAGCTAAAGCTAAAAAGCAGTAAAGAAAAAAAAAGGAACTGCGAAGAGACGACACGTACCATAACAATTACATACAAGAACAAATTTCCGTATAACGTTCTATAACAGCAAAAAACGTTTTGACGACGACTTTAGGAAAAAAATAAGAAAAATCAGCTAGCGATAATACTGCATACTTTACAGTTTTTGAATGTTTGACAAGGTTCTTCAAAAGACTAAAGAACGGGAAAATGATGAAATGTTCTATATTTGCTTATCTTTTTTTCACATTTTCTTTCAAAAACACACTTAAGAGGTAGCACAATTGTTTATTATTAATATATAGAATCCGAAAAAAGTTACATAATAACAAAGTTTCGACAGAGAAGAGCAACAGACATGCTCGCTACTGACCTGCCTGGGTCAATACCACTCTAACAAATGCCAGATCATAACTGAGGTCTAACTAATAAGCATATCCTCAACAACGAAGACACGACTGAACAACGAAAACCACAATTCTCTAATAATAACGATGATAATGCCCTTACGCGTGCAAATTGGCATGGTGCCAATTCGCTTGGTTGCTTTCTTCTGGCTGCCGCACCTTCACAGTTTGTCGCACCACGCATTCTGATGGCACAGCGGAAAGATGAAGATAGCTATGCAAAGGCAGTAGCAATGGCGGCAATACTCGTAGTCAGAGG